TACCTCACCGCCTTAAATAGAACGTAGCTTTCTGACTTTATTTCGAAAGTTGCGGAGGGTATGAAAACAATACTACATTAAGTTCAAGTGACAGTACTTGTTACGGTGACGGATGCATAGCGTTAATTGCGCGACCTACCCGCCCATTTAATCCCCCACCTGACTGTGTTGTGACTTATAGTGACTTCACTTGCACAACATGGTGCTATTTACATGTAAAAGCGATTCCATAGCCTACGATCGTTTATTGTGCCTAGCATCTCCTTTTAAGGCAGTCAAGTCTTCAAGGTGTTGAGATTTTAACCTACTGTCATTGTGGTAGACCGATACCCTATGTAGATGCATTCACAATGGGATTATTTTTAAGACCGAAATCGGCCCAACTGGCGCTGCCAGACGACTTGAAGACAGGAATCTCATCGCTTTTTGACAGTCTGGTCGTCGAATGACGCTTACAGGATCGATTTCTGGCCAAAATTAGTCCCAACGTGAACACATCTCAGGCCGATGAAAGGTTTATAAATGAGCCCGTTTGATTAATTACTAAAAACACGGTAATTTGGGAGCGGCAACGCTACAGAAAGGTGTGTGGACCAGCGCCCAGTTATGTGTTATATATGTACACGTCACTATCATCACATCATGTTCCCAAGTACCATGTGTATCCATCTGTGATATATATATATACATTTCTTTAAACGGTTTATCATTTTCCTTCAACTTAAAATTATCATTAGCAATGCATATCGTTAACGATTCGTATCATTAGAAATGCACATTGTTAACGATTTACACAATTTTAGGCTATTTCATTTTACGACAATTTTTCGCCTACATTTATAATTCTCGAAACCAATGTACAACGAATTCCTAAAATGAGCCAATGGGCTCTGACCACGGTCAAATGCCAATGGTCGCTGCTCGCCTGCAGTACATCCAGTATTACAGAGGAGATATACCAGATTGTGGTAGTGGTGCAGTCTGTCACAATTCATCCAAAGCGCGTGACAAATTGAAATTGTCATGTCGCGGTCAGTAACGTAACATAAAACGTTTAACAAAACCTTTTAAGGTGTTGTATTACCTATTAGTATCATAGTGGCATAAATTGATAGTTTGTGACATGTGAAATATTCTGCAAACACTTTTTATGAAATATAGTGCACAAACTGGTGTACAGTTATGCAGTGCACTTGTTTAAATGTCCAGCTGAAATTTAGACGAATATAATGAACTATTCGTTCAGGTTTGAAACATCTGAATAATACAGAAGCCAGGCACTAACTTTTTACAGAATATCTGATATAACCTAAGGATAATCATTTTTCCTAACTTTATAATAAAAATGTTTGGCCTTGGATAGTTTGTCCACTCTACTGGAATAAGGCAACCGTTAGTTTAAAGCCATTAGTCAAATCATACTGGGGCGAAAAGGCAACTTGTGTCATTTCATATTCAGTGGCGGATTTAGAGGGAGGGGGGGGGGGTCAGGGGGGTTCTGCGACCCCCCCCCCCCCCCGGTTTTTGAAAAAAAAAACCCCAAATTTCCCCC